TAGTGTATTCGAACAGAATCTCAAGATTGAAGAAAAATTAGTGTAAAAGCAGTAGATATTTACCATCTTGCAAGTGTACTTGTTGTTCCATGGTCTGCAAACGCAGTTTGAGTTCACTATTTTCAGCTGTAAGACCATTTGTATCTCCCTGTTTCAAACAAATAAGAAGCATTCAGTATACTGCTACCCTAGTCTTAGCTAAAAGTACATAGACAGAATTAGGAGAAAAATGCAGCTGAGAAGAAAAAGAATTACTTGTCGTGATTGCATATTGGAAAATATAAAAATAGTTTAAGCACAAACCACGGAAAAAGATTCCTTTTGTCAACCAAACCGAAATAAGTTTGTTCAGATTGAGATGCACATGCAACATAATGAAAAGGGTATGTTTAATGTCTGTCTCACTAGAATGACCAAACCAACTCTTCGAAAGAGCTCATCATTTTAACCAATATGATAAGTACATGAAAATTAGGCTACAAATTACCTGTAGTAAGGTTAACTGAGCAGACAAAGAAGTAGCTTCTGTTTGCAAAGTCTGGACTTTCCTTTCAAGCTCAGCAATGTACCTCATCTTACGTTCCTTTGATCTTGCTGCTGACTGCCTATTTGCCCAAATCCTGCAACCAAAAAGAACATGAAACCAGTGCTATCAAATTTCTGCCTAACCGCCATTAGAAATTTGTTAAGGATGGAAGCCTGCTGCCATTTTCCGCCAGACGCCATTTGATAACACTACATGAACGTGCATGTGTACCACAAGAATCCGAGGGAACAAAATAACTCCGTAGTGTTTGCTAACATTTTATCATCAGATAGCTCTGGAAAAATGCACAAGCTAAATGTACTCAGAAATAGGACAAGAAGATAGACATTTGGAAAACATGAAGTGGCTAAACCTACTATTAAGATAGCCATGGGATAATGTACAATGATTTTGGCATGCCTAACTCTTAATATTTGTGTTCAAAGATATATCCATCTACCATACTGCATGGCAGGACTTAGTCATATATATTATTTAATATTATGAATATTGGAACAGAATATGGCATAAGTATAGCATCTTTCTCACAACAAAAACAATCGTTAAAATGCTGAACTTGATGAGAATGTTATCCACAAAGTAGACCAACAGTAATCACAATCCGAAAGATGCAACTAATGATAGAGATATGAAAGGGAATACTATTAAGAGTGATAATTTGCCAAATCACGATTATAGTTACTTTCATTCGAATAAGCAAAAGGATTACAACTTGCAAACCACCATATCACAAATCATCCGCATGTAAAAGATAAATGAATAACAGAGTAACTTAAACACCGTATCTTTGACTGACATAGAAGTCCTATCACTAGAGGCAAGGAAGGATTATGACCGGAAGGACTGAAGAGGCACCGACAAACCCGTCTCTAGTAATGGCACAGATGCCGCAATCGCACAAGGAAGCGACGAAAGCCATACAAACAGGGTTTGAACAGATCCAAAACCAAAATATACACTCACACACACAACATAAAAGCTATAACTGTCCGTCAAAGGGACAAAGACAGCGCAACAAAATTAGTGAACATAAATAATTCAGGAAGTCGCGATAAAAGATTTTTTCCTCTGAATAGATCCTAAAATCACATAAACAAGTCAAATGATTGTTGATTTCACGCGGTCTTGGTTCAGTATTAAACCAAGTTGTTTCAGCTTTCTCCCAAACCCAAAATTAAAACATACAAAAAATTAGAATAAAAATAAAAATAAAGGACTGACCAGAAACCATGGAGATTCCTGTATATTAATTCAATCAAGTTCAAACATCAAATAAATGCATCTCATATGCAGCTTTTGTTCGCATCAGTAAAGGGGACAACAAGGAAGAACTAATTGATAAATTATCTTCACTAACATATCGAACTTTATGGGTATACACAAAAAGATATCACAAAATGGGGTCTTTAGGATCTCATATATCGATTTCAATCCAACTCAAATGGAGTGTTGGACACTTCAATAAAGGGGCCAACAGAACAGTTTCTAAGATCTCCATTCATTAAAAAAAATCAATATCTAGTCAAGAGGAACATGTCAAAGATGTAGCAATTACTCTACAACAGAAAATAATGACATCATATTATTCTAGCAAAACTATTATATGAATGTGGACTGCTGTATCTTTCACCTACTCACGGCTCATAGATCAAATTATTAACATTTACTATCATGATTGCCCGTTGATATATAATTCCAATCCTGAGATGCTGAAGGTATTCGACACTGACCCCAATAAAATATAACGTTAGGAAATGGTATTTCAAATTTACTTATATGCATAAGCAGTCTGCAGCATCTTATTTTACCTGCATTACTGATCTAACGTTTAGTCAGATACTCCTTTTATATTCTTAACTCTTAATACACTGAAAGCAACTCAACTCTTCTTCATTAATCTGTTTGATCTTTGAAATACTTTACATTGTATCACCATTACATACCAGTTGCCAAATGACTTAAGTAACCATTTAAGGCTCCACCACAAATCATTTAAATAATGCATCCGCATATTGCATAAGCAGGATTAAAGTGAAATGGTCCCTGTGGAGCCTGTATTATAGTATTCCCCACTTTCCCAAAGGAAAACTACATATAAAGAAACTACATGAGTGATAAGTGGATATTAATACAGCAATTACCAACATCAAGGTCAAACAAGCATGCATAACATTTACAAACTATTCAACAGTAAAAGCCATAAACTTATGAGGCTAAGCAAAACAGAGTTCCGTCAGCTGTCATGAATTCTCTACTACAACAAGATAGCAATTAATTACACATTATTCCATCCCTTCAATTTGATCCGAAAAGAAAAAAAAAAGGACAGGAAAATTTCATTGACGAGCAGACACCAGAACTCAACCACCTATCAAACAGTAGAAAAGAATTCAGAGCTTAACAATTCAATTTACGAATTAAAATCCACATGAAGACCAAAAGTCAATAAACACAACCAGCGCACGAAAATGGATGTTTTACCTCTTAGCACGCTTTGGATCAATAAGAGCAAGCTCGGCAAGCTTAGCAGCAGACATCGCTTTCTTAGAATCGCCTGGCGAAGGATCTTCTGAACCTGACATGAGCATCTCCGGTTTAATGGAAGTCGACCCGTCCATGGACTGACTATGCTGATGCCTAATTCTCGGTTTCTCACTGATAACCTCACCGACATTATCACCCGACTGATTGGCAAATCCGGATGGTGTAGCAGAAGATGAACCCGACTCGCCTGCCAGCAGATTATTAGATGACTCACCAAATTCTTGGTTTGCAGAAGTTGCGGATGAAGAATTGAACTTATCCATGTCAAGATACATTGACAAAAGGTCCTCCTCAGTATCATCAGAAAAGGAAGGCCCATCCAATCCGCCCACAACACCAAGATCGCTATCAAAGCTGATGTCATCCGGAAGGGTCAGAATCTCAGAGTGAGCACGCCTGTGGCCCAGATTCTTAGGCGGGTTATCGGGCATACGGCTTAGGTCATGACTAAACCGATTAGAAGACTGCACACCGTGACCAAAATGACCCTGGTCAGATGAGCTGCCCGGCGCTAATGGAGGCAAATTCGACATTCCCACTTGATCAGGTTTTATGGTGAAACTACCTTTTGGCGGCGAGAAAGCAGAATACCTCCCAGACGGAGGAAATGAATTCCCACTTCCATGATGAGGCTTATCCTTATCCATTAATGAGAATCTTCAAACTTTATAATTTCAGGAATATAATGATTTACTTGTAAAATCCCTAAACATAAAGAGCTCCGTCCACATCAAAATCAAGCAAAACCCTAAACTTCGACTCCTTGAGCATTCTTGGACAGGTAAAATCTGCAAAAATGGGTTACTGAACATAACCCGAACAAGAATTCAGTGAAACTGATCAATGGGTTCAACAAAAGTTACTTCAAATGAAAAGCCATGAGATTCAAATCCTATGAGAGCAAATAAACACACACAAAAAGAACAATGGCAAGGTCAACAAGGATCTGATTGTTCCATGAATTCAATTATATTGAACAAAGCTAATGCGTAAAAAATGAATTGAAAAAAGCCCATTGGTACTCCAAACTCAGAAAACAGAGTCTCCATAATTCAGAATAAGGTTGATGTATGTATCAGTAATACAGAACATGCGAATTAAAAGCAAAAAGGGAAACACCAAAAGATAATATAACGGGAAAAGCGCTCACAGGCAAAGATTTTATTTTCTTGGTTTTTATATTCTCGTGCTATATTTCCTGACCCAGCGATTAGATCTACAGAGAACAATTGAGAGGCTCGAACAGCTTTTTTCACATGCGAGTTGAGAAGACGAATCACATTTCACATGGTGACATAAGGAAGCTTCATAGAGACGATGAACCAGATATATACCATATAAGCAGAGACCGAGAGATGGACGCACACAATGTTCCGTGTGTGCGACCGTCTGCGTGTAATAAAAAGTAGCAAAGGTTGAATACATTTTTTCACCCGAAATATAAAGGTGTTATTATTCAATCTAACGTCCCTCCTATTACTATTTACTATTTACCGTCTTTTTCTTATCGTTTTGCTTTTAGCATTTTTTTTTCAAAAATTCTAAAATATTGTAAATCCTCTGAACTTGCAGTGATTTCCGGCGAAAATGACCAACGACGAGATACGAAAAACTCTCTGACCGGCCGTTGAATGCGGCCGCGCACGATGACTATATGGTCAGCCGCAATCACGGGCCGGCCGACCACGTGGTTGTCCGGCCAAATCGGCCGACTGTCACTGTGTGCGCAATTTTTTTTTCTAATCAAATATTTATTTATTATATAAGTTATGTTAGGATTTAGAGCTCGAGAACGAGTCTTCGTACTAGCCTAGATGTGTGTTGAAGCATTTGCTGCGGTGTTGCCCAAGCTCGCAGAGCTAGGGAACAATTTCCTCGTACCTGTAGCCTAGCTGCGTGCTTGAATAGATCGTTGTGGCGTTGCTCGAGCTCACGAAGTTCAGTAGCGAGTCCTCGTACTTGTAGCCTAGACGCATGTTTGAAGAGATCGCTGTGGCGGTGCCCGAGCTCGCGGAGCCGGAAGTAAGCCGCCGCAACACTCTATTCAAACATGAAAGTCCTCGTTCTCGTAGCCTAGATGCATGTTTGAATAGAGTGTTGCGGCGGTGCTCGAGATCGCGGAGCTCGGTAATGATTCCTAGTACTCAGAGAGCCGAGTGACGCGTGTAAACGGCAGTTAGCAAAGCGCAGTTCACTTCCGTATTTTAAGAACTCTTTG